TACTACAAAGTCGCCAGTTCTCAGCTTCCAGCTCCACAGATTGCTCCGCGTACTAAAGTTGCATGTACTACAAAGTCGACACGCACGATCTCCGCAGAGGGCTGCGCGGGCCAAAACGCACTCTCGCTTGCATTTCGCGCCCTCGACGCGCACGATCTCCGCGAAGGGTTGCTCCGGACAGCGCCGCCGGACCGCCACGAAACGCAACCCTCTGCGGAGATCGTGCGTGTCGAGGGCGCGAAATGCAGGCGAGAGTGCGGTTTAGAAGAGCGAGAGGTGAAGATGTGAGATGTAGATGAGAGGTAAAGATGTGAGATGTAGATATGAGGATGTGAAGATGAGCAGAGATGTCGATGTGCAGATGTGAACATGAGCAGAGATGTACATGTGTGAAGATGAAGATGAGCAGAGATGTCGATGTGAGGATGTGAAGATGTGCAGAGATGTAGATGTGCAGTTGTGAATGTAGATGTGAAGATGAGCAGAGATATAGGTGAGAATGTGGATGTGCAGAGGTGAAGATGTGAAGATGTAGATGAGACGTAGTTCTGCAGGTGTTTTTTACGAAGAACCCTTCGCAGGCACTCTCGGGAATAAGCCTCAAAAGAATTCCAGACAGCTGAGCACGAATCCGCCCATTAGGCAATGGCGCTAGTTCACCAACAAGTGTTGCGCGCCTTTCGCCGGCAAGGCTGTTTTGAATGGATCCTTGAAATGTGCCACGCCAGCATGAAAGCATTACATGCAACACTTCAACATGACCCATCGGCGTGGCAACACCCCCATTCATGTCAGCAAACATTTTAGATTAAAAAATATTTTGGAATTCCATACAAGCACATAATCTGAGGACACAACAACATATCAATTTACCAATACATTATGACAATCCCCAAAAGAGAAAATGTATAAGCCCCAGATAAACTATATACCCCAACAGCGGGGCAACATATGGCATGTGTCAATGAACTTGTGACGTTTGTTTGCAAGGTCATCAACAAGTGGTGTGTGTATATTTGTTAAGACACTGCTGCTTTCAATAATGTGAGCCTTTCCAATGCGCCATCCGAGCATATTGACACGCCAATACGTCAGCGTAGCACATGTGCACACATATGTGCAAGCATGACAACACCGCAGCAAGCAAAAACCAGGAGACCTTTTCCGCATCTCAGAGCGCGACAATTGTGTTAGCATGTTACTTTGTCCTGTGCCAGCATGACAGTACGTCAACGTGACAGCCTGACAAGGTGTCAGCGTGTCTACACGTCTGCGCGACAGCGACACCATGTCAGAATATCGGCGTACCAACACCTTCGCATGTCAGAAGTATAACACGTTAAAGTTAGCAGGTCAGCGCAAATCGCAGAGTAGCTTGAGGGCATGTCAACATTTTAGCGTAACGGGTCAGCAGCATAACGCGTTAGCACCAGGGACGACATATGATGACATTATGTTACGCTAGGAGCGATGTCCGCATATTGTGTTTGACAAATTGATGTATGTATTGCCTTATGATGTATAGTTTGGGGCCTGTTTTATTATCTGTAATAATCAATAGATAAATATATTCGTATGTTTTAAAGGTTTTTATAACCATTATCATTTATTTTTAGAGGTATTAGGATAAACCCAATTTATAAAAATATCTAAAAACTTAGAATATAAGAATTTATATTGGCTTGTTTAGGTCTAATATTTTGTATTAGGATTAACATTAGCTTTGATTATTTATATATTTTTATATATTCGCTATTCGATATTTATATTAATATAATATGAATATGTTAAAATATATTTGATAAAAATATAATTTAGATATATTCGATTAAATATATTATATTTATATATTGTTTAATAAATATATATATGATTAAGATGTTTTTTTGCTTAGGCGATTCGATTTATGTCGATTTCGGAACGAATTCGTAGTGTAAAATGTTATTATATATTCGAATGGTTTTTATTTGGTTTTGGACTTTGGAATGATTCATTATTTTTGATATTAGTCGAAATTAAGGGTTTATTTGCTTAGGGATTTATTTTGATTTATTATTTAAATAGATTTGTATATTTTTTTGAAATCTATTTTATTTTAGTTTGGAATACGATTCCGATAATTTAAATTATACGTGGATGGTTTGATTATATTAATTAATTATTTATATTACGTCGTTTGAGGAGATAATAGGAGTAGGAAATTTATCGAGGACGGAGGGGAATTCGGGGGGAATAAATGGTATTGAATATTTAAATTATGATATTTTGAATATTTAATTATTTAATTATTTATTTATTATCGATGGAAATAAATATTAAATATTGATCGTGGATGATAGATATTGTCGGGCGCAATCATTATTTTAAGGTTGATTTTAAAATAAGGTATTGATTAATGTCTTGATATATTTTTATATTTATTTAAATCGTAGCCTCGTTATCGCACTTATAAGTGGCTATTATTTTTTTTTGTTTATATTAAGGACGTATAATGATGTGAAGATCGTTATTTGCATATTAATGATTCGTTGTATATTCGATTTGCATTTCTTAGCATATATTTCTGAATTTTATGTAAATCTCCTTTGTAATATTTTATGTATTTCGTAAATGATTTTAAAATTTTTGTTGTTTCGATTGAAATTCTTTTTTTATTTATATAACGTGAATCTTTATTTTTTTTCGGTATAGATAGGAATCGGAAATCTTCTTATCGATATCTTTATTTAATTAATTATATTAATTACGAATTTCGCCGAGAGTTCCGAGGACGCTATATTTAATTAATATAAGGTCTTTTGCATTTTAATATTTTATAAATTTTCTTGAATTTCGATTATGCATTTCTTTTTTTGGAGCATTTCGTGCGGTATGTCTGGTTATAAATTGGAATTTATTTTTCCGGATCGGTTTGTTTGCATTCGGGAAATTTGCTCCTAATTCATGAATTCGTCCTCTTTTTGTTTTCGAGTCCGGTTGTATTGGGGTTGTTTCGGCATCTGTATTAACCCTTTTGTGCGTGGAATTGTTTGCACCATTGGAGTTTGATGTCCACCTTGGCGATAGATTCGGTCCCTCTTCTTTTCATCTTTTTTATGGATATAGATATGGAATTATTGCATGCTCAAATTGGACTAGAAATTGATATTATTCCATATCCGTTATATATTTCCCTTGTTAAGGACATATATGGTTGCTAACGACTTTGGGTTTCTCATTTAGTAGCGTTTACCTTCCGTGGGAACAATTTGACCGTTTACGACCGTGTTGTACCCGTCCTCATCGAGAATCCGGAATCTGGTCTAGCTGCTTATTATTCAGAGTAACGAGATATGTTTGCTAAGGTGGTTTCGCTCTGAAAAACGTCCCTGCTACAATCACCAAACAACGGAATGGCGCAATGACCTTTACTGGTCTGATCCAACTTCACAACCTCTCCACATGGTAAAATAAGGCAATCTCTCCCCATGTCTAAGACAACACCCAATGAGCGAAGAATTAGTTGGAATGGAGTAAAAGGGTCATTTCACCTTGGTCGAGAAGAATGGCGGCCTTAAACAAAAACCTACATTTATTTATTTTTGCAGGGAAGATGCACGATTCATGAGTGAGAAAGCAGGGTTCCAGAATTGCCGCACTTAAATTTAGCTTGTTCTCCCCTTCGTTTCACTTTCAGGTCTTGTTTTCTTAATCTCTTCTTATTGCACGATAGCGTGTATGCTCCCACAAGTGTACGTC